GGTATTGCCTTTTATGCGCGCATGACTTCAAAACACATTTCACTTTTATTTCTGTGACATCACCGCCATTGTTTTAATTGCCTCTGTAAACACCCACTTGACATTTCATTTAGCACACCTGTGCAATCTAATGAAATCCACGATAGGAGATGTATTGAACATTTACAAAGATCATTGGCCAAATGCAGAGGTCCCCCAAGGTGTAACATTTAATAGAAGTAAAACAACCACAAAGGTACTTGTATAAAAATGTCTGGTCGTAAATAGTCACAAAATGACATTGGGGACATAGATTTTTTTTATTCTGTCCCTGCATTTCCTATTCCACTTACCCGGTATCATTTTCAGGGTGGCAGGGACCGAAACGGTGGCAGACATGCTAACCAATATTACATGATGCTGTTTCGCTAAAGATGGCTAACTTGGTTGCTTTTTCCAAATGATGCAGTTCACTTATCTTTGCAAAGCATCATTTATTGACACAGGTTTCTAATGGATCTAATTAGACTGGCGACATGTGAGTCTACGTTGTACCGTGATAAGCTAGCATACGACATGTTATGTCGCACTGCACTAAATGTAAATATCAGACACTGCAGCTGTGCAAGTATTTCTTGAGGCATTGTCCCTTGTCTGTGAACAAAAAACACAATGCATTTGCACATTTGTCAATCTGACATTACACCCAAAATATTAATGATGTTGAGCACGCAGGGAGTCGATACATGCCTTTCTCCTCCTACTTCTGTCCCTCCCCACTCACAAACAAATGATCAGCCATTGATCTGACCTTTCTCCCGAGTCTTCGCAATTATCTCCCTAATTATTCCGAATCCATCCTCCACTCACTGCTTGCCATCAACAAGGACGCTCACAATTTGTGTTGATTTGCGGGTGCTCCTGTCTAGATTCGGGCATATGAAAAGTTGTCACAATGTGGGCCAGAAACAGAGGCAGAAATTCACAAAATGAAGACAGGATGGCATGTTTTGGTTGACAGCTCCTTGTGCTCCGTCGGGGTATGTCACAAGTGTCATCGCAAGGTTGTTTGCCTGATAGCACACACACACACACACACACACACACACACACACACACACACACACACACACACACACACACACACACACGCAAACCCTTCGCAACCGCATGTCAACCTTTAGGGAGGCATTGGGGACATCCTGGCTCTTCATGACGTGACTGTGGACAATCTGTCGAATTAATGATGCTGCAGCAAAAAGCTTGTTACGGCACTGGCTCTCCATCAACCAAACGTGTGTGTGTGTGTGTGTGTGTGTGTGTGTGTGTGTGTGTGTGTGTGTGTGTGTGTGTGTGTGTGTGTGTGTGTGTATACTGAGTAGATAGAAGGAGATCAGAGAAGTCTTCCATTTGTAACCCAGTCTGACTATGCCGCGCTGGAATGAACGATGGGGGAAGGGAGTCAAGGGAGGTATGAAGAGGTGTAACATCTCTTTGTCGTCACTTTTCTCCAGTGCTTTTCCACTGGTGGGTAACACACTACATTTACTCTGTTACATTTACTCAGTGCTACTTTTTTCGGGGGGAGAGTGAGAATGTCAGCTCTCTTCCTGGTGTTCTGCAGCCAGCCTCGTTTCCTGTAGTTACTTTGTACTTCGGTTGATAAAGATTTCTACTTTTCATCTTCTGCGTGATGTCTGGTACTGGTTCCAAATTCTGCTCCTCACGTGACATGACTTTTTACTTCAAATGAAGTCAAATTATTCTGAAGTAACAGTACTCTTACTCGAGTGCAATTTTTGGCTAATCTACCTACCTCAGTCCCACATGCAGCGCCCTGTGGGAATTATAGTAACACATCATTGCCGCTGTGTGCGCTTGTGTGTATGAGTCTAAGCCCTGCTCTTTGCTTTGTCCAGGCTCAGACACCAGAACAACACCAGAGCATTCCTCTCGTCTGACCTGCAGTTACACCACTCAGTCATGCAGAGCGGCGAGGTCAAAAACGCCACGGTAAAATGAGAGTACCGTCTCTGGAAAGTTAGTGGGATTAATTATCCTGATTGAATAAAGTCACTTTTATTTTAATTTTAAATCTGGGTTAATGAGACTGGTTTTATAGCTTGACAAAAGACAAAGAGATCGAGTAAAAGTACACCATTAGAGCTCGAACAGTGCAGTGGTGGGTGGTGAGTCCCAGACCTGGGCCTTTGGTGGGGACTAAAGTGTCCTTATCCACCTCTCAATAACACCATCATGTTGCAAAATAATGCACAGACATGTTAAATAAATACGTGTGGCATTAAAGAGACAAAAATAGAGATAGAAATAAATATTTTCCACATTTGAGTGTGAAAACCATTATTACCAAATCAAGAAATGTATAGTTATATGTTATTAGTGGTATATGCATCTTCCAATACATCATCTCCAAAAAAACCCCTCCAAACCTCTACACTGCAATATAGCAGTTCACAATCAATAGTTATCAATATAAAAATTCAAAATAAAATGCATCATACTCACCAAAGATGTTGATGCAGACCTTTTTTTGCTGCTGCATGTTTATGTCTTTGCCTGCTTGCTCCGAAAGTGCTCAAAAAATACATTTCAAAATTGAAACCAGACGGCCAGCAACAATGTTGGTTGACGTAGCCTCATAAAGTTCAGTTTTTCTTCAAAAGAGCATCTTGAAAATACAGTTTTAATCATGTCCGATGTTGTCCTCTGTAAATCAATCTTTGGCACACATATTAAGCGCCATCAATCAGAGGGTAAACATAGCAGAATTTTTGGGTGAAACCAATCAAAGGACGTAAAAATACCGATGTCACTTTGAGCCTTTGCAAAGGCGCGGAGTCGAGAATCTAAAATATGATTGGCTTAAATAAAATCCAGCCATTTCAGTGTGTGTGTGTGTGTGTGTGTGTGTGTGTGTGTGTGTGTGTGTGTGTGTGTGTGTGTGTATGTGCGTGTGCGTGTGTGTGTGTGTGTGTGTGTGTGTGTGTGTGTGTGTTCAGATTAACACTCGGGATTCTGAAGCCCTTGTGCAAATGACATTTCATAGCAATACAAAGAAGCTGAAATCTGATTGGACAAAAAAAAAAAAGAAGACACAAATGACTGGAAGTCACACATTAAATAAATCGTCACTATTTCATCCATCCATTTCCTAATTCGCTTACCCACAGGAGGCTTGCGGGCGTGCTGGAGCCTATAGCGGCTATTTCATGTAAATTGTAAACGCCGGTCCGTGCTTCAGATTTGGGCAAGCCTTGAAAGTCCTGGCTACACCGCATTGCATCTTAGCAGTAGATACAGCAATAAGACACTGCTGCCTTCTTCACAGAACCAAGGTAGGAGTGTTCTGCAACTGTGTGCGTATTTACACTGCAGCATCCTACTGTCAGATCATTCTACATGCAGGGCAATGTCAGTGCCGGCTGATAGTGTGAAAGCAAATACTTGTCGGAGAGCACTAATTGCTGACAATGCACCTACGGATGGACATGTGAGCTCCTTTTACACAGGCGCCATCCCCCCACCGTTATGGCTTGTGACACTACCTACGAAGGCTGGATAATGGTGAGAAAAGTGACGCGGAAAAAAATGACAAGTAGAAGTCAATTAATATATGACGTAATGGATATTTTTTGCAGCACAGCACACCTATGCCCAATGTTTTGGGGTTTTTTTGCACCAGGTTTCACATAAAGACATATTCCAACAGATTGACTTGAATAAAAACCTGATTAAAAATGCAACACTTTATTACGTTGAATGTTTCATTTGTTAGAGCCCTGCACATGTTTTTCTTGTCGACTGGAAGTGAATCTACAAATAAAATTATGTCACATATATACACCAACAGATTTGCCAGGTCGAGTCCTCCCAAATGGTATAAAGCTATATCAACAAGTAGATATATATGCATAGAAGACAGATTTGTTGCCGAACAGTACACGACAACAAAAGAATCTAATATTTCTCCTTTGTAGACAAATTACCTGTATGACATTCTCCCCTTACACCCCCATAAATGCTGCGTTTTTTTGGTCACCGGGGGGTGTAATGTATTGTACTTTCATGTGCCTAAGCCCGAGAGCCAGAAGAAACCAGCTTGTACTCGGAGTGATGATTGCCTGCAGAGTCTCACTGGGGCCCAGAACCCCTACAAGCAAATCTATTAGCATCTTCGCGCGTGTGTGTGTGTGTGTGTGTGTGTGTGTGTGTGTGTGTGTGTGTGTGTGTGTGTGTGTGTAAGTAGTGGGGGTGTATCCTGCAGACATGGACAACACTAATGATATTGTGACCTGTTCTTTGTCCTGAAACAAAGAAATACTTGGCCACACTCTTCTTTGTCACACACACACACACACACACACACACACACACACACACACACACACACACACACACACACACACACACACACACGTATAATACACAGTAAGTGAGGTGTGTGTCTGAGCGTATGTGACGTGCACATCTCTCTACAAGCTGCATGCATTTTGAGGACCCTTCATTGAGATGCAATGATTTTTTTGGTGACGTGTGTCTCAAGTGGCTCTTCACACCTCCAACCTACCCTCTAATTGCCGGGTTTAGTGTGTCCAAATGTGTGTGTGAGTGTGTGTGTGTGTGGGGGGGGGGGCATGTATGTGTGCGTGTGTCTGCGTGATGATGTGTCAGGCGTAAGAGTGTGCTCTTGCATATGCATGGAGGGAATCATAAGTGATGATTTTGGAGAGCAGACACGTCCTGATGTAATTATAGAATTTATTTGACTTGTTACCCAAACTCATACAGACAAAGACCTTTCGGTCCTAATGTTTCATTAACACTTATAACACACAATACGAATGAAGAAAACAACAGAAAAATCCAGTTGCTGCAATTATTATGTGACAAGACATTTTTTTTTAACACAGCTATTTAATTTGCATGAGAGAAAAAGTGTGTATCCCGTCACGGATTCTAAATGTCACATTTAGGTAGAAGACTGATGTCTACTATTGGTAGTGTAGAGCACATGAACTATAGACTAACATTCTGTACCAGGAGTACACAAAGCCGAGTCCATGGAGTGCATGTGTTTGTACAACATAACCCTAATTTTCTCCTACTGTCTTTCAGTCTCTATTTGCTCATGTTGACAAAACACACACAAAAAAAGAGTGTTGCTCAGCCTTCAACCCCAAGCGTGCAGAAATGTGCATGTGTCTATATGTGCATTGAGTGATAGCCATGGGAAAGGATTAGGATGGCTTTAGACGGGCTTTATTTAATAAGCAGCACAACGGCTGCACCGGATGGGAAACTCCAAAAACACACGCACACAGGCATGTGCACGCACAAATACACAAACGCACACACACACTTATACACTCCCACACACCAGCACACTGGGCTAAAGGACCCGGAGCTGTGGTTTTGTTACGGTCAAAGCTGGACTGAGCTAAGAGGCTAAGTGAACCATGCGTGAGTTTGACTAGGTTTCTTGGCCCTGGTAATTGGGACTGATGGACCTGAAAGTGAGGGATGAACCAGGGAATACAGGATGTCTGCACTGGTAGGCTCATTCCGAGTCAGTGTGTGTGTGTGAGTGTGAGTGTGTGTGTGTATGTGTGTGTGTGTGTGTGTGTGTGCGTGCATATGTGAATTTCTGTTCCTCTAAAAGTGAAAATCATCAGTCTTTTCTCAGCAGACCAATTAGATGAAGGAGTCGCGTGGTCCTCAGGTGTGAAAGCCCCCTTCTGGTAACAGGAGCTTGATTATTGGTTGTACAGTGGAACCTTTGAGGTCCAATACAATCTGTTCCCAAGACGCACATGGTTGACCTCTCATTTGTTTGGATATTGAATCAATGTTTTCCAAAACAAATAATGGGAAAAAAATTTTTTTTTTACTTAACAGGAAATATTCTAAGTAACAATTGAACATTTAAATCATTAAGTATATAGACAGAGAGAGAGAGAGAGAGAGAGAGAGAGAGAGAGAGAGAGAGAGATGAAGAAGCCATCATGCAGCATAGCTCAATTCTTTCTCTAAACAATCTTACATTTCTCGTTTTACAAGTCCCGGTAATACAAAACATTTTTTTCTGTGCAAAACATCAAATAAAGGTGAGGCGTCCAACCAGCTCCAAAGAGGACGCCCTTTCTTGAAATAAAACATGCAAATGTATTCTTCCGGAGTACAATCAAACATTTTCAACAGAGGCATGTTTCTCAACTAGGTCAGCAGGATCAGATGGCTTGAGATTAGAAGAGCACGTTTTAAACCGTCTTTTATTTATTTATATATTGATTTGAATACATCTTGTTGTCATCCGCAAAGGCATCTGATTAGAACGATTCAAACCAGAACCTTGTGAGCGGTGAAGAAAGCAAGAGGTGAATAAAAGATGACGGCGAAAGAGCGGAGAGGTGAAGCCCGTGTCTGCACGGCACTCCTGGGAGCCTAAAATGCCTTCTCATCAGTAAACTGTGAATAATTCATCTTGTTACCGCGGCAAATACACTCATACACTCACACACAAGCATGTATGTGCACACGCATAACATCGTATGCATGTCACACACAGGCCATTTTTACAGGGTCCGATGCGGGGCTTGTATTATTCACTAGCTTATGAACTCTGCGGAACCCTTCACTTTTTGACTGTCTACGCGTGTGTGTGTGTGTGTGTGTGTGTGTGTGTGTGTGTGTGTGTGTGTGTGTGTGTGTGTGTGTGTGTGTATGTGGTATGCAGGGCTTCATTTTTATGCTTCCAAATGAAATGAGGTAACAGAATGGCAACAATTCACCCAGACGAGTCAAACACACACAACCAACACACACTATCTTTGCAGGGAATAGGTCATTAAACCACAACAGTTGATTTTGCTATTTTTCACCCCGGGTAAGGATGAGCGTCAGGGTTGGAGATGCTTCCAAAGTGTCTAATAAAATGCAGCTGTGGTGAAGAATACAGCCTGACACAGAAGGGCCACAGATTTGATTTCATTGCAATTGTAGTCCTGTGCACGTTTTTTTTTTTTTTTTTTTTTTTGAGCAGCTAGTAAATTGCACAATGATTGTGTAAGACTCCTGGAAACAATAAAGGAGTCATAGCAGAATGCAAAGAACATTCCGAGAAATTGCTCCATTTCACATTGTAAGATGATGATGATGATGATGATGATGTGTGGAAACAACGAGTGTCCGAGAAACACAAGGAGCTTTTTATGGTCTAACTCTGTGATTAAACTCATGTTCACGGTTCATAAAACATGCTGTGGAGCATGCTGAAAAACCCTCTTGGTATAAAAGGGTGGGGCAGGGGGGGGGTTCAGTTGTGAAAAATATCACCTTTTGTTATATTTGTCAAAATATCAGCGTGTTCTGATAGTATCAGTATTAGTAAAAAAAAAATATAGCCCCCGATCTCTAATTTGATTTGCAATAAGCAACAATGCCCGAGGAAAAACAACCAGGCTGTGACTGAGGTGTTACTGACTAAGTGTCAACATTTGCTGTCCACTCGCAGGCACATTCATTGTGGGCACAACCACTTCTGGAAGATAAAATAAAAATTTGGGTGAAAAAAAAGGCATTCTTCGTTTGCCAACGACTGGGGACAAATCTAGTAAGCAGATGCAGTGCAATGTTCATGAAGTTGTAACACTATTTTTAACTTTTACCAATAGAAAGGAAACTATGCCTTCAATGTTTCCACAGTTGGAACATTACAAGCAATATGTCATACTGTCATAATGTAAAAAATAGTTCACACCTTACTGTTATTAAAACTTAAAAACAATGCACTCATTTTGAACTTCAAAAACAAATACCAAGGGTTTGTGTCACATTTTCTCTTTCTTAACCTTCTCTTAAAGGGGAAGTCAACCCCAAAATGTTCTTTCGAAGAACATGTTCAATACAGTCCCACTAGTCGAAACACGGCATTCTTATTCATATTGCGTTTGCGGAATAGAAACCAAGCAGTAAAATCCACCAGTTTTTGTCCATCTCGGGGGCGGGGGCAGTTATTTTGTCACTTGCTGTTGACTGAAAATGACATCACACTTGCTCATGGCTCATGTAACGACCAATCATCGCTCAGCTTCAGAAAACAGCCGATTGGTGGTTACCTAATCTCTGAGCAACTGTGATGTCATTTTCAGTTGACAAAAAGTGGCAAAACTGCCGCCCCCTGAGATGGCTAACAGGTGGATTCTTGCTGCTTAACTCATAAACCACAGACACAGGATGAATTCGAATGTCATGTTTAGACTAGTGAAGTTGCATAGAGCACATTATTGTAAAGCTTGTATTGTAAATTTTAGGCTTGACTTCCCCTTTAAGAAAAGAAATATAATGACAACTAAGAAAAAGCCAAGGAAATAAAAACTCAATCAGCTCTGGAATAATCAACTATTTCTAAAGTTGGCTTGCACTTGATATCATGTAAAACAAAATCAGAACGAAGGCTTGCAAAACTTTAATGAGGTCTCAAGATAATATCTGAATGTGTGCGTTAGTCAGAGGTGGTGATTGATGTGGTGACCGTGACCTCTGGCCCAGAATGCTTTGGACACCTGTCTTCTCACGCAAGGACCTCCAGGACGCTCCCTTTCAGTGCAGATCCTGATTTATGAGACCCCAAAGGCTCCTCTTTGGTGTTTTGTCTCTATCTCGCTCTCTCTATTTTCCTCTTTTCCTTGCTCTCTTTCTCTTTGACACACTCTATACCTCCATCGTGAAGGGCCACAAGAGAAATGGAGAGAAATGACTGCTGTCATTTTTTTTCTCTTTTAACTGGGCTGGCGCTGCTCTCTCTGTCACCGAGCCCTCGAGGGGAGAGGACATCAAACAAAGGAAAAAGCTTCCACACTTTATTGTCTTTTACCGCAGAGTGCTTAGATCTATTCTCACTCTCACCTCTCCTTGAATAAAAAAATGTTTCAAATTCCGACTTGTCGTCTCCTCTCTCCGGCCTCCTCGACATCTCTTATACATTTTCTACATTTTGACGGTGCTCTTGGAGGGTGACAACTTGTCAAAATACTGAGTGAGAGGAAATGAGGGAGTCTCAGTGTGAGATATCAGTGAGGCTCAAAGACAAAACAAATCTCAAGTCCAAACACAGTGGTATGTGGTTGAACTCTGGGATGATTGATTATATTGTGATTATTTTGACAAAGAGGACTCATAAATGTCATCGGAATGTTAGTCTTTCCGGGCGGTCGATTGGCCAGCGCGCCGGCCTGACAGTGCGGAGATGCAGGGTTGGAATCCGGTTCTGGCCTTCTTGTGTTGCATGTTCTCCCCGTGCATGGGTTTTCTCCGGGTACTCCGGTTTCCTCCCACATATTAAAAACATGCGTGGCAGGTTAATGGAACATTCTAAATTGTCCCTTTGTGTGAGTGTGGACGTGAATCGTTGTTTGTCTATGCGTGACCTGCGATTGGATGGCAACAGGTTCAGGGTGTCCCCCGCCTACTGTCCGAAGAGAGCTGGGATAGGCTCCTGCACGCCTGCGACGCTTGTGAGGGTAAGCGGATCAGAAAATGGATGGATGGATGTTTGTGAAAAAAATAGGTTATGTTAGCCTAGCTTCCCATCACTATCGCGGCTATGATTTTCTCAGGATGCATTGGTAGTACTTCATTGTGATGTCACACATCCATCCATCCAAAGTAAAAATGAAAGTAAAAAGACTGTCACACCATAACTATTGTAGGCTTCGTTGCTAAGTAAAATAAAGTTCGGTAAAAGCGCACGCACACACACGTCCACGCACACACAGACATACAACCTCCAGGCGGTGCACCTGGGTACAGCACACATGCATGATTCATTTTCTGCAATGCATACACATATACACACACTTATGCAGTTACACATTCCCAAGCAGCTACACAAAGATCACCAAAACCGATTGCAGGTTACCTAGCCATCATCATCAGGAGGCCTCACAACATGTCACATGATCATCTGGGAGACGATACATTGCACATCCACACACACGCAGTGGAAGGAAAACAGCAGGGAGGATTGATCTCCCGCCATGATATTGATTAGCCCACCCCCCAATCCTGACTGGAGGATGCCAACTGTGTCAAGCCATTTACTTCCTGAAGCAATCCTGCAAGGAGGCTGAAAATAACAACGATGTAAGAGACATCTTAAAGGGGAATTCTGCTGGCTGCAAAATGCCAGGAAGTCTACAGGGAAATTCTTGAGTTCAATGACAGGTGCTCCAAGACATTTTTTTTAACCTTTGCCCCTGGTTCAACTCAAAAGTGTGTGTTTATTTGTGCAATATACAGTCGTGTAACTCCCTGCCCTTACCTCGCCCCTGGTTAGTGTGTAATATGAGGGGCTAGTCTTTTTTTATGCATGTGTTGTATTGATACACATTTGAAAAGGATTATTTGAAACAACTCAACATAGCAATGTCAAAGTGTTAACCATAAATAATGAATGCTAAATTTTTTTAGCTTACGTTATACAGGAAAACCTCTAACACTAAATGCCCTGGAGGTCATGCGTTCAGAATTTAAACAATATATTCCAGTAAAAAAACTGCACCAAATTCAAATTTAAATGCACAAAGCACATCCGCATCGCGAATCACCCTCACATGACAGGCTCTATTTCTCATAGACAGCGCACGTGCGCTCGGGTGTAAAAAAACTGGCACGTCTTGATTTTCCTGCAGGTGCAAGCCTTGCTTAGCGTGTTTAGGAATTTGACAGACTGTGCTGCGCGTGCACCGAGGGCGTTTTCTTTTGACCTGACAATTTGATGGCTGAAAGTCGACTAAACTTGAGACCAGCTCAGAGCAGGTCTAATTTGTGGTGCGAGTGCTGTAACGCAATTTTGGCTGATTTGATCGAGGTGCAGGCAGACACGTTCGACGTGAATATGTTTCATGGATGTCATGGTATGTCATTCAGTAATACGACAACATCTAATAATAAAAATAATAATCTTCATCATCATAATTTATGCTGAAAACAGAGAGGCCGATGACAAATGTGAACTACAACAGAGAAGCTTGCATATAAGCAGTGAACATTTATTTTTCTTGTGATCTTATAGCGCCTGCCGACACAATAAGTCACGGGTGTCAAACTCAAGGCCCGTGGGCCAGATCCGGCCCGCCAGGTCATTTTATGTGGCCCGCGAAAGCATATCATGTATGTCAACTTGCTAAAACCTGTACCGAAATATCAACTTGTCATGTGTGATACATAACGTTGAGATTTTGCAATCATTTTGTGACCCTGTTTATACTCACTTGAACAATAATTGAACACACTATTATAATTGACTTGACTTATTTCAAAACTAGTAATCTATTAAAATGTTGTGTACAAGTGATAATTTTGTGGTTTCACTATCATAACGGCCCTCCGAGGGAAGGTGTAACTCCAAACTGGCCCGCGACTGAAATGAGTTTGACACCCCTGCAATAAATCAACTTCCAGCCATTCGGCTATGGGGATTTAAGTCATAAGTACAGACAGAAAGGAGCACACTTTGGCCACGATCCTCCTTCCAAGCAGCTTTATGTTTGTGCTTCTGCTGCCTGAGCATGCGAGGATGTGGAAACAAGTTGATGGAATAACCACGCTCACAAACATGTGCAGACACAATGGATATTTCTCAACACTTTGGCCTTGAGGAAAAAAGGAATAAATCATGAGTGCAAATATTTGGTTCGCAGCCCGAGGTTCCCTCTGAATACACCATCGGTTGCTAATTATGAAAGTGTGATATTTGAATATGTCTGTCGACGTGTCTGGTTTTACATTTCTCCTTTGTGGATTCGTTTTTCTTCTCAGATTTAGAACCGGTGATGTTGGGAATGTTTCCCCCTGCGTTGTAAAACAAAGAAACGATCGTCTTCAAACTCCGAGGCGTTGCAGAGACCCGAGGGGGATGAAAGGAGGAGAGAGTGCGCTGTCACTGTTGGAATACATTGAAATAGTTGATGTGAAACAGAGCAAGAAATATGCCAGATGAATAAAATACACAGAAACTGTTGAGATTGGATAATTCTTGTTGGTTGACCCCAATTGCTGAAGTCCCATTTTACGCCCTGACAGAACATCCATTGTACACGTGTCTCAGTTCATTTGACCCACTTATCCTCATATTGAAGCAACATGTCACAATACCACATTGATGAATGATCCATCCGTGTTAATATGCAGCATCTTCGTATGAAAGTTAAATGAAGAAATTCGACAGGAATATGATGTCATTTGATCATCTGCAATCAACAGCAGTGTGCTGCTCTCATCAAACAGAACTGCTTTAGCAGTAAAATAGAATAAAAATACCCCAAAGCATTTTTTTTTATTTAGCACATATGCTGGCAAAGCTGCTGCGATTGTCATTTGTTCCTCTCATCAAAGGAAAAAAAGCTTTTTATGTTCATTCAAATTTTTGTAACATAAATATCATTAAAATGTGTTATGTTTTTTAAATTACTTGGTTCACAATATTTACACTGATGTAATTATGAATATATTTTTTTATTTATTTTCTGTCCGGAGAACCCCTTCAAAGAATGCTTGAAAATAGTTTTTAAAAATTAAATTTTTTTGAATAGACATTTTTCTCTTGAAGTTTTGACTTCAGCTCTTCACTGGCTACCTTCAGTTCACAGTACTGTATCACTCTGAGTATTACAAAAAGCACAATGGTTGAGGTTTTATGATTGCTCTCGCCCTGGATTTAAATTTTTTCGAATGATTTTGTGAATACCCTACAGTTATTTACCAAATTCTTCACATGGTCTGGGTGTGTCTTTTGGGGTGTGTTTCAATGTGAATTGACATGCTATTTAAAAATGGATCTGCCTGAATTATTCAGTCTGTTATTGTAGTGTCAGTGATGATGTCTGGTTGTCACGGAAACATGGTCCCATGATCTCAAGCTCACAGCTGGGTCCCCTCTGGATAGACATAGAAAATGATCCTGGTGATTTGGACAGAAAATGAGGTGGCAATATGTACCGTCACACCATGTCAAAATGTGCCAGAGTGAGTGAGACCGCGGGAGGCAATAGTCAAGGGGGGGTTGGGGGGGTCCCCCCCCCCAAAAAAAAAGCAATATAAAAGGTTATGAAGTATATGCAGTCAGTTAGGTGTAGAGTAAAATATAATACAATACTTGAACTCAAAGACGTTGGATGCAGGTATTGTGGAACAGGTATCATAATACAATATATATATATATATATATATATATAT